GAAAAAAAAAAAGTGGAGTTTGAAACTACTTGTCATGATGAGGTAATAATTCCTCGTTGGTAGATACGATAATGATTTCATTGTAGATGTGTGGTGGGCGCTAATAAGTGACACAACTAACATGTAGATCTGTCTTAATCACAAAAACAGATTATTTAACTCTCAAAAATTGCAAAACATGCTACTAAAACTCGACTTTGATATGCTGTTAGAAGCAATAGTTATGTAAAATGGTTTCCCTTTTTTTTTTTTTTTCTCTTACCATGATGGGATGGCAGTATGCGAGATAAAATGTCTGAAATAATTCTTTTGCCTGTGACCGGTAAACATGAGATAAAGTAACAGACTGGGGGTTGTAATTCAGAAAGCTAATAATATTAATGTTTCTATGCAATTAGGCCAACCAAAAAATTGTACCTTTTAGTCTCAACTCTAATAAATAATAAATATCTAACCAACCTTAATATTTTGATTGCGTAGGTCTGGGAGATGGAATGGGACATGAGTGGGATGACATTGGCTACCACTGGAAGTGATGGGGTTGTTAGACTGTGGCAGTCGAACGTAAATGGGGAGTGGCATCAGCAAGCTGTTCTGACAACCGCAACTCATTAGTCCCTCCTTTGTCCTGATTAATCGAGATCCTGCTGTGAAGATTTGTAACAACAAGAATTGAGAAGGTAAATCGAAAATATGTGCCAGAAGTTTTGGATATCTCCTAAAGGAAAAGACACTTTGAGGAAATCTTGTGATCTTTTGTAAAGTAGATTGGTTATTGTGAGATTTGTGATAGCTTTGCCATATTAAACTATCCATTAGCATATCCTTTTTTTTTTCCTCCTCCAGTATACAGAATGTGTTCAATCTCTCTCTCTCTCTCCCACACACACACACACACATGTTTTGTTTTCTGGAATTACTTGGGCCAAGTAGACATATTCTGATTGGCTTATGCCTTGTGATACAATTTGAATTTTCCAGCTATATGTTTCATTTCGTTCATAAGAATATCATTAGAAACATTGTTCATTCTCCATTGAATCATAGGATGATAATTTATTTTCAGGTTCTTCACCTCTTTTTTGGTGCCAACCTAAGAATCCATATGTCCAGATCATGGTTGTCTGATCCTGCTATCTAATATGTGCCACTACAATTTCTGGTTTGTATTAATTTTTTTTAAAAAAAGGCAATTCTTGTTCCAGCATCGACACATTTCAACCGAGTTCTTATCCAACTCTGATCACATGCCCACATGACTTTGTTATTCCAATATTCCAGCCAATGCCCATGTAAATCAAGCTAAACTTCACGGATCGAAAGCCGGAGTATGATGAACAGGAGCTGAGAACGCCCGATAAAACAACCTATCAACCAGACCTGGATAGGGGTTCTCCTCCCCCTTCCTCAACAATTAAACCATGCTACGCTCGATCTCTGACTTTATCTCCCTGTAAAACTCACACACTTTCTCCCTATCTTTCACCAACTCCCCCCTGCCTTCCCTCTCCATAGGCCTCCCGAACACAAAATAAAACCGGCCCAGCCAACTTTGGGTAGAAGCCCGGCATGAAAAATTCCTTCGACACCTCACCCTTCTTCTCATCCCGTGCTCCAATTCGGGCGACGTTCTTGTTCGTTCTCCTTATCATCTCCTTGGCAAAGGGTATTCTAATCAGGTTATCATAATCGATAAACAATTTGACCAAATCGTCCTCACCCATGACCCCAAAAGGCACGATCTTGGCCCGGAATCTGGCTTCCATGCGTACGAATTTGGGCTCGTCGGGCCAGAACAGCCTGTACTTCTCTCCCTTCCTGTGCAGGGCCTCCCGTATCCCACCGGGGTAGAGAAGCACGTGCGACTTTCTAGACAGCTGCTTGAATAAATCTGCTGACGTGGCGGGCAAGGCCCCAAACACCCTGCAGTAACACCATGAAGTAGTTGAAACCCGACGTTTCCGGCAAGAGGGCTTCCATGTTCTTGGTGAATATCTCAGGGTGGACCATGCCTCTTACCATTATCTTCTTCTCCCTCAGGAATTCTTCTATGATAGACCCGATTTCCGCCCCAAGTAGCAGTGGTAGCCCACTAGGAGAATCAGGCCCAACAGGGATAGGTGATTTGAGTTGTTGAGAAAGAGGCGGATTGAGGCTATGCAAGACCTTTCAACTCAATATCCTTTTTATGTGAATATCACGTTTCAATTCGACTTAGCACAAGCACTGTCTCCTGTCAGGCACCCTTCCCGCACAATTTTCCCATCGTTTAGGGTCAAGTACATCACCGGGCTTATGGCCACCCGGAAGAATTCTAATATTCCATCAAAAGCCTTTCTGTATTCTGATTCGCTCGGAGGCAGAAAATCGGCCACGTGATCATGTCGTTTTGAACAACGGTAAAAGCAATTGGCTTTTAGCACGGTTAGTAAATTCACGTCTTCCATCAAAAGGGTGTGGCCGCTGTTCCTAAAAAAACGTATTCGGCTATTTTCTAGTGATGTTGAGAGCCTCAGAGCTTCGGCTTTACTAGGAAGGATGTTGTTTTCTCCGCTCGCAAGGATTATTGTTTCGTGTTTGATGGAGTCAAAATGTGAATTTGAAGATGAAGAAGAAGCGCGCTTGAGCAACTCTAGATGCCAAATTAAAGTTTGTTTGGTAAAGATACTGGTCAAGTTAGAAACTTGCGTAGTTAAAGAAGATAGCTCGATCATGAGTTTCGTTAATTTTTTTTTGAGTGGAGTCGAGGGGTTTTGGGTGTTTATCACATTCGCCATTTTAATCGGGTCTCCTAAAGTGGTGCCTAGAAAGAACGGAACTTGATCATGTTTCTTGCTGCTTCTAAATAGTCTAAATGACTCACAGTTTGATCCCCAAAGCCATCATCCCATAATGGTTCTAATACTTCTTGTTTGGTTTCGAGTTTTTTCGTGTTCTTTTTCCTAACATAGCCTGAGGCTGATGAGAAGCAGCTACTGGTAAATCATGAATTTGCCCAAAATTTGATCGACAGTTTTGAAATTTTGGCTGAAACTGGATTGCAGGTTTCGTAATTGGGGTTTGATGTGATCGTAGGCGATAACCAAAACCATGACACATTCGTTGTCGTTATCGTTATTTTTATTGTTTTGAATGTAAATAGATGCAGAGATTGATGGGTGATAGTTATGAGCTAAGAACTACGAGCACAATGTAAAATAGATATCAAGCTCAAGAATAAAAATGCAGAGAACTTAACAGTGTGCCTCAAATAAATCAGATAAATAGTTTGGTGTTGGATTTCAGTTCCTTGAAGTCCTCCAACTGAAAGCACTCACACTGTCCTTGCCCTAAGTGTGATAATATTTTAGCCACGGTATTCGGAGCTTTATCCAAACTAATCCGTTGGTCGACCCCGGTCGCACACCTGGCAATGGTGGGTGAGTCTCTCAACAAAGGTTTTCTGCATTCACAATGACTCGAACCCGAGACCTTGCTTAAGCGACATCAAGCTGCTTACCACTTGAGCAAACCCTTGTTGGTCTAAGTCTGATAATATTGATTTTTCAGAAAGGAAATAGGAATTATCATTAACAAATATAAATAAAATATTATAAATTATGTGTAAGGAAATAAAATTGTAACTGGGATAATGAACATTTCCCATTTTCAAAATTTGATCATTATTATAAATAAAACAATATAAACTCTTTATCTATATATAAATCACTATATTAATTTGAAAAAATGTTTATGGCTAATGCAATTTTATTTTGAGGGACCATATCAATTAACTTAGTTCAAACATTATTATGATTATTATTGTAGCAACATTTGTTTAGAAGATTCTAACATGGTTTGACTATACTATTAAAGCTAATTAGTTTTTTTTTTTTTGTTTTTTTTTTCTTGAGATACAAAATAAAAAAAAAAATTGATTTTAGAATAAAGAGCTTGAAGAAAAAAATTGCCTTAGAATTTTTTATACTTATGTAATTTCTATATAACATATAGTGTAAATTTATTAGTTAGTATATAGTTATTAACTATTGTATAATATAATAGTAAAAAAAATATGATTATACTTGATTAAAATAGGGTCTAATTGACGGTAATATCACCACCTTACACTTTTTTGCAATTTTAACCAAACTTTTGAATATTAGCAAACAAAGCATAACATTGTCTTATATATTGCAACCCGAGCTCAAACCCCGACGACGGTGATATATTTGGTTGCGTGTTCGGCTAGCCTCCTACGTGGACAAATTTTCTGACTTGAGATGAATCAATGGTTGAAGGAAAATGGGGGTAAAATTGTAATTACGTCCATGTGACAATTTTGTTATGGTCAAAAGTCAAAGGCTACTGAGATGAATCAATGGTTGGAATCGTAATTGTGCCTTGTTCTTGAAAAATTACGTCGCCGTGGAGAGGTACGACTTAGCCAGAACCCTAGGTTCCCTAGCTGACGACATGCCTAGCTCCAGAGGCGGCTCGAACGGGCCCGGACCAGGGGACTCAAGAAGAACTTCAACCCCGACGACACGCCTTTCCCGTGCGCCTCCGCCTTCCCTCTGCCTCACCGCGCATGCAGCGGCGTCCTCTGCGGTCTGCCTCCAGCTCTGGGGCGATTACGACAAGCAATCAATCGATCCGCCAAGGTCGTCTTCTCCGGAGCGACCCACCGGGGACATTCCACTTGTTGCGAGTTCTTTCGAGTCACGCTCTACCCTTGAACTCGTCGATTGAGAACTCCTAGCGTCCTTTTTCCGTCGGCCGGTGATAAAATCTGTTGAGAATCACGATGGGTAGGGGGTGTCGATTAGAGGCCCATGATCGTGAATCGGTCTTGTTTGATTTCGATCGGAAGAGTCCTGTCCGAGAACAGGGAGGAGAAAACCCCGCTCTTGCTTTTCCTCTTTTTCTGAAATCCTAACGTGATTGGGCCGACGAGGCTCACTAGGGAGTGTCGTAGAAGTGGTGGTGGCAGTGACAGTGGCCGTGGGGCTAGCACGCGACAGCGGTGTAAAATTTGGGTTAAAAATGAATTTGGGGATTCTAGGTTATGTAGAAATTGGGATTTTTTTTTTTCACTTTTAACACGTCATTAATTATTTGACCACGTCAGCCCGAAAAGTTGGTCACGTTGGGTCCATAGCCGGACATGCTGGCTAAAATATTACCGCCGACGAGATTTGAGTTCGGGTTGCAATATTTAAGACAATGTTATGCTTTGTTTGCTAATATTCAAAAGTGTGGTTAAAATTGTCAAAAAGTGTAAGGTGGTAATATTACCGACAATTAGGCCTTAAAATATTGTAACAGTTTCCTACCATAATTAGCTAATAGGCGGATATTTTTTTTTTTTTTTTTTTATTTTTTTTTGTCTTTTTCAATAAATGAGCAACCCATCACACACACACACACACACACACTAACCTATTCGATTATCTTAAACAAATTGAATACGAATCACAAATTAAATTAGTTAATCGGACTAAATTAGAATACTCGAATATTTATCACGAATCCGTGTTGAATAATTCAACATTCATTTCGATTCGATTCGTTTACAACCTCATACAAGCATGTTCAATCCAAGCTCCATCGTCCACATGTGAGCTTTTGCATTATTATTATTTACGACTAATTTTGAATGGTTTACATATAAATTTATTTTTGTTATCGTATTTTCCTTATAAACATTTGCATTATGCATAGTAAGTATGTAAAAGAGCCTAATTTAATATGATGGAGAATTGGAATAACTCATTTACCAAGTCATGAAATATAGAATCTCAGTAGGGGTGGCCGGCGCGGAATTTGACCTATCTGGCTACTTGTCCCTTTTTTTTAACCGATTTGGGAATGGTCCGGGATGAGACACCGTCCCAATTGGATCTGTATCAATCGAGATAGAGACAAAACGATTCGGGACCGAGAAAAAACGGATTAAAAAAAAAACTCGACCAAAATACGTATTCCATTATATAAACGTATCAACATAGTAAAAGTTCATAACAAACTTACATAAAGTCCATTTAAGTATTCTGCATGCACTTAAATACTCACATGCTGTCATTCAAGCACTTATTCTGCATGCACTTAATTAAAGGAAGAATTACAATTATCAAAGACACACTGTTTAATTAAACCAAGAATTATCAAAGGCATTACTATTTTTTGTGCAGAAAGGCTGAACAGCCCGAGGCCCTGAATTAGTGAACTTACTTTATTATTAATATAAATATAATTATAATGTATTATATGTATATATAATATTTTGTACAAATTAATTAAACGGACAAACGGGACGGTTAGTGATAAAAATATTCAAAACCGATACCGACATTGTTAAAATGGTTCGAGACCGGTAACAACACGAAAATAAAGAAAACTTTTTGGAACTTTATTTTCGGAATGTGACCATTTCGGTCATGTTCAGTACCGGAAAATTTTAGTTTTTTTTTGCTGACCCCTAAGAATCAGGTTGGAAGCGTTGACTAGTCAATCCGTAACTAAAAGCACGAATGGAAATTCATCCATGTTTGACAGTAATCAATAGGTAAATAAATTACTTGAAGAGGCAACTAAAAAGATCAGATCGAGAAGCTTAAATGTTTAAGAAGGTGGATATCAAAGGGTAAATGAAAGAAAGATCAACCAAAAAGATCAGATCGAAAATGACCAACTCTCTCGCCAATGCACAACTCCCATTATACAATTTTGAATTTTCTCGACGGTGAAGTAAGACCAAGTTCATGACGGCTGGTAGTGAAAGGAACTGACGATCGTGGGGCAAATGTCCTTACCATTGTGAACGATAATCGTATGGCCGATCATTGCAGGTATAATGGTAGATGCGCGGGACAACCGATCCAACCTTTTCTGTTCGTGACCGCTTCAGATTCAGAATCTCTTGCTGTTAAGGTATTAGAATCAAAATTATGGAATTGATATGAATCTGACGCAAGAACACGAGAGAAAAGGAAAGCTTCGATATTGTATTGAAAGAGAGGAAAGCCAAAAAGTGTCTGAGTATATGGAGGTACAAGATATTTATACCTAGGGTTACATGAGGATAGAAAAGTAAAATTACAATTACCTATAGTTGCTGTTTATAAAACAACAACTTCAACATTAATTCTAAAACAACAACTTATAATCTTATTACCCCCCGCAAACTTAGCATGGATATTGTTCATGTTAAGTTTGGATATCAAATATGAAAAACTAGGGCCTGGCAAGGCTTTAGTAAGAACATCAGAAATCTGCTCCTTGGTGTCAATGTGCTGCAATTGAATAATTCCATGGGCCACTTTTTCCCTGATAAGATGACAATCAATCTGTATATGTTTTGTTCTTTCATGAAACACAGGGTTAGTGGCTATAGCAATGGCATATTTGCTATCAGAGTATAAAGTAACAGGTGAAGAATGAGGAATTTTGAAATCATCAAAGAGAT